TTTTTTTTTTTATTTTTTTTTTTTTTTTTTTTTTTTTTTTTTTTTTTTTTTTTTTTTTTTTAATACTGAATTCACAAATAATATATATACATTTTTATTTATAAAAATTGTTTGTGATATGATTTGTAACAAAAATAAAATAAAATTAGAAAAAAAGTGAATTTTAATATTTGTTATATTATTAAAGTAAAAAAATAAAGAAGAAAAGGAAATGTTGTTTTAAAAAAAACGAATTAATATTAAATAGCTAATGAAAATAAAAGAAAAAATTATATAATATATTCTTCTGGCCTTTGTTATTTTATTTATTTTTTTTTACTACTGTTTTTTATTATTGCAATCAAATTAATAATAGTCAGTAAATACTGTTTAATGTATATATATATATATCTATTTCATATATGCATACTTCAATGTGTATATTGATATATATGACTATTTATACATGTATTATTTAATTTTTTTTTTAATTAATTAGATATAGTTTAACACTTATTATTATTTATATTTCATTTTACTTTTTATTATTTTCCGCTGCAATGAATTAAAAGAATATATATATTTATATATATAAATATGATTGTATGCAGGTGTGCTTATAGTAATACCTTTATGAATTTAATTAGAAAAAAAAAAAAAAAAATAAATGGGAATATTTATTTAAAATATTAATTGAAATGACACATTAAATTTTTGTTGTTAAAATAGGCAATTTATTATGTGTTGTTTATTTTTAGATATATTCAATGCGAATATTACTTTAATAGAAAAACTATTTATTAAGTTATATATATATATATCTATATATATATATATCTATATGTATTTTGTCAGAAATTTTTTATATAAACAAGTGAATATTAAGAAATAATACATTTATATATAATACAGAATGTCGAATTAAATTTTAATTTTTAAACAAAGAAAATTTCTTAGTTCTTGTTTATTGTTGCTAAGTTTATTTGTTTTTGTACTTTAGATCTTTTAAATTTATATTTTTTTATCTTTTTTTCTTTTCATTTTTTATATTTCATTTTCTATAAATATATATATATATATATATATATATATATATATATATATATATATATATTATTAAATTGCATTCAATTAAGATTTTAAGCATAAATTAATTTTCTTAAATGGGTCTGCAAACAGAAAAGGAAAAAGATAAGGAAATTCAAAAAAACTATTTTAAAATATGTAGTAAAAAATTTGAAACAGATGAATTAGAAGTTTTAAAAAAGGTAATAAAAAAAAAAAATATATATGTATATATATATATATTTTTATATATAAATTTCTCTCTATTATTTTAGCACATTTATATATATATATACATATATTCTTTTAATATATATAAATATTTTTATATAATTTTTATATTTATTTATTTTCATATTTACATATATTTCATTTTTTTTTTTTTTTTTTTTTTTTTTTTTTTTATAAAGATTTATAAGGAGTTAGGTAGTCGATCTGGATCTAATTATATAGATAAGGAAACTTTTCTTCAATTTTTTCCTTTGCCTGGATTATGGGGGGAGAGATTATTTTTAAAGTTTAATTTTAAAAATACTGGGTATATAGATTTTGAGGAATTTATAATAGGAATTGCTATATGTTGTAGAGGAACAAAGAGTGACAAAATAAATGTACTTTTTGATATTTTTGACTTAAATTCAGATGGATATATTCAAAAATCAGAGATGGTGGCTATGCTTTCAAATATTCCTTATATTCATAAATTAAAAAATGTGTTTTTTAATAAAGAAAATAGAAAAAATATATATGATGAAGAATACAGTGATATTGATAATAATAAATTAGCCCACAATAAAAATAGTGAGGAAAATAATATAATTAATTGTGTTAAATGTTCAAATCAAAGAAATCAGATATTAACTCATAATAATTTATTAAATGATAATGAATTATCGAAAAACTTAGGAAAGGAAGAAAAATACGAATATGAAAATTTCATCAATGACACAAGTATTGAACAGCATGAAAATAATTTTTTAAGTATTGATAAAAAATCAAAAAAAGAAAAATCAAAATATTCTAAGAAATATTCTATCTATAAAAATGAAAGTGATGATACTAACTCATCGTCTAGTAGTGCTACTAGTGATTTTGTTAATGATTCAGATTATTCAAATAAATGTAAAAAGAATTCTAAAAATGAAACAAGAAAAAATTTATCAAAATGTTTAACAAAATATAAAAGTGCAAATATTACATGTTTATCATCAACTACTGATAGTTCAACTAGTAACGATACTAGTTCTCATTTGAATAATGGAGATTGTAATAGTTTTAGTTCAAATAAGGATCAGAGAGATTTATGTTCTAGTTATTCCTCTGATTCTTTTATTAGTATTTATGGTTATTTAATTAAAAATAAAAAGAAGAAAAGAGAAAAAAAAAAATATAGAGAAGAGATAGAAGCAAAAAAAAGTAAAGAGGAAACAGATGAAGAAATAGAAGAATGTGAAACAAAAGAAATAGAAAATGAAGAAATGCAAAAAGATCATAATGAGGAAAAAGAGAAAGATGAATATGGAAAACATAAAAATGATTTAAAGAAATATAAAGGAAAAAAATATAGTAAAAGGGATAATATAAATATTTATAAAAAAGAGAAAAAAAAAGAACAGAAGAAAAAGAAACATTTTTTAAATGAGTATTGTTTACCATCAAAAACAGCTAGAAACATATTAAATGATGAAGAAAATAATGAATTATCTGATAAAAATGTTGATGTTGATGAAATTGTTGACATTATGTTAGAAGAATGTGAATTTTTAGATAATGATAAGATAACTCTTATACAATTTAAAAGTATTATTTATAAGTATGATTTTTTCTTATATATATTTTTTAGTTGTTTACATGAAGATATATGGGGATTGCAAGGGAATGTATTATATGGAAGAGATTATATAAGCAATTTTGTTATAAAATCAGAAAACTTTAATAATAATGAAATTGAAGATAATGGAGAAGTAATAACAGAAGAGTTATATTTTAAAATAAGGCAACTTTTTATAGTTCAAGCCCCAGATTATGATTGTGTGAATGATAACCTATGTGTGAATTTTTTAAACAAAAAAAATTTAGAAAAAGAGGATATTGAAAAAAGAGAAACATTGATATCGGATTATGATAAGGAAAAAAGTGAATTAATGCATAAAAAAAAATCAAAAAATGAAAATTGCAACAAATTAGTTAATTTTATTAATAGTAAAATAAAAAATGATGAAAATATAGGTGAATCTGAGAATACTAAAGAAAGCAAAGATGTAAGTGAAAAAAAGGAGGTAAATGAGACTAACTATACTTTTTTTAAAAAAGAGAATAATAGCTTAAAAAACCAAACAACATGCATTAAAGAGAAAGAAAATTTTGTAAAAAATGAAAAAACAGAAAATTATATTAATGGAGCTAATCAAACTGATAAAAAGAATGATGATACAAATATAATTAAAAAAGAAAGTACAAAAAATGAAAATAAAAAAGAAGATAACATTGAAAATGATGTTACCAATGAAAAAGAAATAGACGAAAGAGATTTAGAAAAAAAGAATATTAAATACATTAAAAAAAAACATGCAGAGAGTGAATTACTCAATTCTGTAAATAATGAATTAATAATAAATCAAAATAATCATGATTTAATAGATTTAAAAAATAAACCCAGTGATATTAGTGAAAAAAATGAATTAAATAGTAACACAAATTCTAAACAAAATTATCTGCAATTCTTTAATAAAAATGATATTCATCGATTATGTAAAGAAATAGATCTTTTAAATGATGAAAAATATATTATAAAAAATGGAAATTCTCAGATGAATGAACATATTTTACATTTAGAAAAAGGAAGAGAAGATATCATAAATATTATTATGAATAATGGTGATAATAAGATTGCAAAGGATAATATGGAAGAAAAAAATTACAGTGTTATTCAGAATAATATAAATATATTAGAAAATAAAAATATAGACTATAATAAAACAATAGAAAGTAACGTAAATAAAATAAATAACACGAGTGAAAGTAATAATAATATTAATAATACTAATAATATTGAGGATAATAAAAATAAAACTAATTATGAATGTGATTTCAATTTATTAACAAACTCACTTAATGATATATTCTCCAAAGAAATTGTAGAATTTATTCAAGCATCAAAAATTAGTTTCAATATAAATGATGTTTGCAAAGAGAGAAGTTTACAACAAAAAGTGAAGTATAAGAAAACAAAAAGAAATATTGAAAAAGTAAAATGTTATCCTATTACTTCTTTAAATAGCCAGAAAAAAAAAAAATATCCTTCTGATAAAATTGCAGTAGATACGAATGTAAAAAATGAAAAAAAAGAAAAAGATGAAATAGAAAAGGAATGTGAAGAATGTTCTAAAGAAGTGATTAAAGATAATTTAATACTTAAAAATAAAATTTACAAAACTCTTAACCATATTGAATTGAATGATATTTCAAATAATAATCTCTTAATAAATGATAAAAAGAACGAAGAAAATATAAAGGATATAAATGAGGAATATTTAGAAAAGGAAAATGTTCTTTTAGTTAATGAAGCAATAAAGAAAAATTTATCGGAATGTAAAATACAAAATGTAAAGGAGATAAATGAATCTGAACAAATTGAGTTGCATAATAAAAAAAGTGACGCAGGTGACTCCACTTCTTTAAATAAGATAAATGAAAAAAAGGAAGAAATGAATGAAGAAAAAGGAAGAGGAGATAATAGTTGTAATTTTAATGTGGAGATTGAAAATAGGAGTGTTTTAGAAAAAGAAGACCTTAATAAAAAAGAAAAAGTGGAAGGAGAAGTAAAAGAAAATAATTTTTTACATGAAGAATGTAGTTGTGGAATGTTAAGAAGTAAGGAAGATAATATAAAAAAGGAGATCAGTAGTAATAATACTATAAATAAAATTGATTCCTTTAAAAAAGATGAATGTTCAAGTGATGATAATGAAAGTAGTTTTTTAAAAAAAAAAAAGAAAAAAAAGTATGAGTTGACAAAAAAGCATGTAAAAGATATTAATTTATATTCTTGCCCCAATTGTAAAGGTCCTTTTTTAATGTGTCCTAACTGTCACAATAGATATCCTAGATTCTGTGTGAACGATAATAAGATTGCAATGGAATGTGAATATTGTGATTGTGAAAATTGTTATTTTTATAATTGTATTTATTGCAATTTTGATTTTCAAAAATGTTTGGATATGATTAAAAAGAATTCTCTTAAAGAAGGTATACTATATAAAATTGGAAAGCATCTTCATCAATTTAAAGCAAGATATTATATTTTATTTGATAATTTATTATATTATTATGATAAAAAAAGAAACTTAAAACCAAGAGGATTTATGTTTTTAGAAGGATGTTATGTGGAAAAAATATCTAAAAATGAGCATATAAATAAGTATGGTTTTTCTATTTGTCATAAGGGAACAAAGCAAGTTCAAAAGAGAAATTTGTATGTAAATAGTTATGAAGAAAGGGAAGAATGGTTACAAGCATTATATTCATCAACAAAACAAAACACTTTATATAATTTATATGAATTACATGAACAGCTAGGTCAGGGAAAATTTTCTACTGTATATAGGGGAATAAATAAACAAACAAATTCTGAATTTGCAATAAAAGTAATTGATAAAAGGTCAGTTTCTATATATGAAAAAGAGTTATTAAGAAGTGAAATTTCTATATTAAGATTACTTAGACATCCAAATGTAATTTATTTAAAAGAAATTATTAACACTAAGGAAACATTGTACATTTCAATGGAATTAGTAAAGGGAGGAGAGTTATATGATTTTTTATTAACAGAAACAAGATTAAGTGAAATTCATGCGAATAAAATTATCTCTCAGTTAATTAAGACAGTTGCATATTTACATAGGTGTGGTATTATACATCGTGATATAAAGCCAGAAAATATTTTATTAACAGATAAATCAAGGGATGCTCAGATAAAATTAACAGATTTTGGATTATCAACTCTGTGTGCTCCAAATGAATTATTAAAAGAGCCATGTGGAACATTAGCTTATGTTGCTCCTGAAGTTATAACCTTACAAGGATATAATCACAAAGTAGATGCTTGGTCAATAGGAATAATTTTATATTTACTTTTAAGTGGAAAATTACCATTTCCAATTAATAAAAATACTGAAATGAATATTCAGAAAAATTACATTTTAAATTTTAAAGATAATATATGGAAGAATATATCTTCGTCAGCTAAAGATTTGATTTCCAAATTATTGGAGTTAAATGTAGAAAAGAGAATTTCAGCTAATGAAGCATTAGAACACATTTGGATAAAAAATCCAACTGCTGTTATTAATGAAAATTCAGTTATTTACAAAAATGAAGAGATAAATATTTTAAATTTACAAGATGTTAGTGTTAGTACTTTTAATATACCAAAATATACTCAATACCATATTGAAGAAGAAAAAAATAATGAAGAAAATGAGAATAAAAATGTTTTTAATTTTTATCCAAGTGAAATTATATGTGAAGATGATGATTCTAATGATGATCCTGTTATCCCTTTGCCATATAGCAGTGCACCTTTAAAAGAAAATACTTTGGAGAAAAAAAATTTGATGAATCAGTCAAAATCATCATCTTTCAATAAAGAAGATATTTTAGATGAAGATTTCAAAAAAATAAATCCAGATCAAAATAATAATAATAATAATCAGAATAATATTTCTACTAATATATATTGTAATAATAACGAAAATGAACAAAATTCAAAAGATATATAAAATCAAGTAAATTGATACACTTGTATTCTATTATTTTTCTAATAATGAAATATTATTATCATATATACATAAGATTAAAGAAAACATCCAAGATACAAAGAATTGTTTAATATATTTTTATATACATTCTTTTAACTTTTGAAAACACATAGGAATAACATTAAAATAAAAATTCAAACATTTATTTATAGCTTAAATACTTTCTTTTTAAAGTATAAAAAAGTATGGAAAAATAAAAAATATTTAATGTAAATAATATTTAATATAGAAAAAAATTTCAACTTTTTGTATTTTAACACGTTTATATATGTTAATATCCTTTTTTTTTTTTTTTTTTTTTTTTTTAAGGTTGCTTAATACTTTATTTTCTTTATATATATACATATTTTTATACTTATTTTTTTAATATATAAAATAAAATAATAAATAAAATTATTTATATACTTTTATTTTATATATTTGACTTTTAATGAAAGTTTTTTTTTTTTTTTTTTTTTTTTTTTTTAAAANAAAAATTTTTTTTTTTTTTTTTTTTTTTTTTTTTTGAAAAATTAGTTTATGTTGGGGTGTTCTATATAAATATCACTTTTGCGTTATATATTTTTTACAAATATAATATTATGTTGTTTTAAATATATATACTTCAATATATATATATATTTTTCAATAGATTTTTATTTTAATATGTTTCATTTTGTATAATTTTTTTTATATAATAGAAAAAATTAAATAAAATTTTAAAAAATATTTTTAATTTGTTAATTTAATCAGATGTCTATTTACATATCTTTTTTTTTTTAAAAGTAAATAAAAAAAGTATTCTCTCTCTTTTTTTTTTTTTTTTTTTTGAGAGTAAAAAAAAAAAAAATATTTCCTTTTTTAAGGAATATCATTTAATAATATTAAATTACTTTTGTGAGTATTCAATTTTTTTTTAAATATAAATATATGTTATTAACATATTAACATAATGCAATATAGAAGATTTTTTTTATTATTTTTGAGATAAAATAAGAATAAGATTGTATGATAAATTTTAAGACAAGAATTATTTTCGAAAAGAAAAAAAAATATATATAGATTTTTATAAAAATAAAAGCATTTTTTTTAACATAATTTCTATTCTTTTATATTTCCTTTAATACAAAATAAAATAAAATAAAAGAAATATATAATTTTTATAATAAAATAAAAAAAGTATCATTGTACAAAATATTTTTTAAAGATTTCTATTTTACAGAAATAATTCTTAATCTTTATTTAATATTATACACAAAAAAAAAAAAAAAAAAAAAAAAAAAAAAAAATGTATTTATATATATATTATTATGATAAAGTGTTATTTTAATATAAAGAATATAATACCTAATAATTGATTAAATATAAATAATGAAATAGATTAATATTTCAATTATTAATATGAATATAAAAGAAATAGAATTTTATATATTTTATTTGACTAAAAAAAAAAAATAAATTATATTAAATAAATCTGTAATACATTCACATATTATTTTAATTTTATTCTTTTAAAATAATTTTTTGTTGATGATGATTTCAATAAAATAATGGATATAAATAAAAACAACAAAAATTTTAGTGCTAATAATTTATTTATGACAGATAACTTTAATAACAAAAATAATAATACAAATAATGATAAAAAGTTGATAATAGATAATGAAAAGAAAAAAAGTATTTGGTCATTATTTTCTAACGTTGAAAATAGAATTAAAGAAAATAAAGATATGAATGATACTAATATTAATAATATTTTTAATAGTAAAAGTGTAACTGAAAATAAAAGTGGAATAAAAAATATAAATAAAAGTTTATTTAAAAATATACATGATAATTATGAAATTAAAAAAGAAATAGAGAACATATCGGGTAGTTTTAAACGCAGAAACAATATATTACTAACAGAAAATACGGATGACAATATACTGAGTAATATAATATCAGCTAAAAGAATAAAAACAAACGAAGAAAAAAATGTATCTAGCTCTTATAATTCATATAAAGAATTTTTTTTGAGAAATATTGACCAAAATTATACAAATAATGAAAGTCAAAATATATTAAATAAAAATTCAACAAGTAACATTTCTCATAAAATTAAAGATGATAATGTTTTTGTTAGAATGAAAAAAATAAATAAAGATAATTCAAACAATATTGGATCATTATCTAATATTAACAATAATAATAATAATAATAATAATAATAACAATATAGATAATAATGGAATAAATATATTGCCATTAATTAAACAAGTGGAAAAAAAGAATATAAATACTACTTTGATAGAAAAAAAGAATATGAATACTACTTTGATAAAAAAAAAGAATATATGTGTTCCTGTGAATTTAATAAAAGAAAATGAAAAGGACATTATAAAAAAACCTCATGGTTTTAGTAAAAGTGATAAGTTCGATATTTTTAATCATATTGGGGATGATACATTTAGATATATTTTATCAAATGTTAAAAATAAAAATTTGCTTTTGTTAAATAAGAGATTCAGTGAAATGATTCAACTTATACGTATAAAGTTAATGTATGATGAATCATTGAAAAATTCTATATCTCCTGAAAGTATAATAAAGACAATATATGCATCTCAAAATATTGAAATATTGGATTTATCGGGTTGCTCTCATATAACTTCACATCATTTTAATTTACTTTGTAATTCTAATAATATTAAGTTCAATAGAACATTAAAGGTTTTATGTTTAAAAGGATGCAATAAAATAACTGATTCAAGTTTAAAAATTTTTTTACAACGATTTAAAAATTTAAATATAGTCGATATACGTAACTGTTATAAAATTAGTCATGATGGAATATATCCTTTAAAATTTAAGTCTACTTTAAGAAAAATATATATGGGAAATTTAACATCTGCAAATGTATCTAATTATCACTCAAATGAAACATTAAGAGTACTCTTTAATTGTAATAAAGAAAATATACAGTTGGATTCACCATTAGATAAGTTGGTTTGTTTTGAGATAACTTATGCAAAACAATTAAGTGATATATCTTATTTATATATGATAGCAAAAAATTTAAAGGTTCTTAATTTAAAAGGTTGTAACATTGATGATAATTCTTCAATTTTTTTTCATAGTTTTACGAATCTTTTAGCATTAAATTTATCAGATACAAAA